CTCCCCCCTCTAGCCATTAGGACCTTTCATCCAGTGGTTTACTCCATCGGTCCTTCACTTTCTCCGCTCGCTGTTTATCGGGCTTTAGCATCCTGATAACTTCATCAGCATAAATCCTAACACTTCGAGCTAGGACATCTACACTTCTCCATATTCCTTCTTCTCGAATTGTGTTTCTCTCTGACCACAAGAACCACATCGTGATCACCATTTTGAGCCTGTCTTCCTCCTTTTGCTTCCATGATAAAGGCCATTACATCCCATGTAGAAAGTTGGGTTGCTAGGTGCATCCACTCTGTCTGTAACATCAGGGCTTGCCAAACCTGTCTGGTTAGCTTGCATTGGAAGAAAAGATGGCCACCGTCTTCCTATGCCCTTCCACAGACCGGTCAGGTACTATTTATCTTCATTCCTCGTTGTGCCAAGTTATGCCTCAGGGGGTGTGGCTGTTGTGGGTGAGACACAATAGGAAGTGTTTTATTTTGTTTGGACATTTCATTTCACGAATTTTGCTCCACACAGAGTCATTGGTCGGGTTACTTCCTCCTTGCTCGCATCCTCGAGTCTTGTTCCTAAGAAGGTCATCCTAACAAACCTCGTATGCGCTTCGGACATTGAATCTTCTGCTTTTGTCAAAGTGCCACACTAACATGTTCTCATTCCTATCTAGAACCGGTAGGGCTAAAATAATTCGAATATCTTCCTAACCAAAAGTGTCTTTGATCAGTTCTTCATCCTAGGTGTCCGATATAGGGTTAACTAGCTCCTCAACGTATGTAAGCAAGTTGGCGCCTCTAGGAGTGATTGGTTTCCTTGAGCAGTCCCTTGGTAACCATGGGCCGGCCCATATTTTCAGGTTCCTACCATCTCCAACCCTCCAGATCATACCCTTCATCACTTCAATACCCCCAACACGCTTCACCAAGTGTATGACATACCCGCTTTGTGTTTAGCCTCCAACACTGATGTGTTCGCAAAATACTTTGCTTTCAAGAACTGAGCGCATAAAGAGTCAAGGTGTTTCCATAGCCACCAACCTTGTTTTGCCAGCATTATGAGGTTGAAAAGCATCAATATCTCTAAATCCCAAACCCCCTTCATGTTCCGGTTTCATCATTGTGTCTTGACCCAACCAGTGAATTTTGTGCTTCCCCTCTTACTGGTTCCACTAGAACCGACATACCATAGAGCTAATCTAGTCACATAAGGACTTTGTTAGATCAAAGAAGTCCATTGTAAATGTAGGAATGGCTTGAGCCACTGCTTTGATTAGAATTTCCTTCCTCGCCCAAGATAGAAACTTTTCTTTCTGCCCTCGTATCTATTTCCAAATCCGGTCCTTCAAGTAAGCAAATGCACCATTTTTTGATCCACCCACACACATAGGTAGACCAAGATATTTTGCACTCATCATTTCTTTTGTAACTTGTAGCAGATCATAGACTTCACTCTTCTGTTGCCCCTTTGTATTTCTACTAGAGAGATGACTGACTTTGCTTTGTTAATCATCTTCCCACAATAATGCTCATATAGATCAAGGATGTTCTGAAGCTGTTTGGCGTCCCCCTCCGTCGCATGAATACGAATAAGCAAGTTGTCGGTGAACAACAGGTGTGAAATACTCAGTGTAGCCTGGCAGATTTTAACTCCAGCAATCATACCATCCCTTTCTGCCTTTTGAAGCAAAGCAGAGAAGCCTTTTGCATAGAGAAGGAATAAGTAGGGCGACAACAAGTCAACCTCCTGCAACCCTCTCTCAGGTTTGAAGCTATTAGTCAACTCCCCATTCACTTTGATCCTATACAAGACAATTGTTGTGCATTCCATAATCAAGCTAATCCATTGTTCAACAAACCCCATCCTTTGCATCATAACTTCCAAAAAATTCCATTCAACCCGATCATAGACCTTACTCACATCTAATTTTACCACTGCATAGACCAAATCTCCTTCCTTTTATTCATCAAATAGTGTGTGATCTCAAGCAATCAAAATGTTGTCTGATATTAGCCTCCCCGGAATGAATGCACTCTAGTTCGATGTTATAATGTCAGGCGGGATAACGCTTTTGATATACACCACGTTATATAACCTTATCGGCCTGAGTTCACTCACCTTTTTAGGTCGCTCAGTATTTGGGATCAATGCAATTACTGTGTCATTCCACCCATCGAGGATTTTTTGCCCATTGAGCACATGCAGCACTTCGAATGTCCGCTTCTCCCCAACGATATCCTAAAATTCCTTGAATTAGACTGCCGGCATGCCGTCCGGACCAGGCGCCTTCAAATCGCCAATTGAATCGAGTGCATAGTCTGTGATAGCCGCCACCGTTGTGGCGAGGAAGGTGGAGGCCTAGCTGAGGATTCGAGTTTCTGGTGTCCATTGCGACAAAAGGTGGTCGGGAGGAGGGTGTCTAGCGTGGTGATTGGAGGGCTTCGCATCTGTTTGGTAGTTGGTGAGTTGCAACCATGAAGTTGGCGAGGATGCTGACGTGGGAGGCGCCCACGAGTTGGCGAGGAGGCCGACGTGGGAGGTGGTGACCAACAGACTTGCGTTGTTGAGGTGAACTACGTGGTGTGGCGGCGGGCGGTCCCGCTTAGCAGAGGCTGTTTTGGTGCAAGGAGCCTTCTGACCGGCAACCGAAGGGCGTGTGTGGCACTTCTACCTTTGATGAGACAGCTAGGCTACGGGAAGCTATGGTGCACGCGTGTGGATCTCGGTGGGTAGGGTCGGCTTGGTGTTAGCTGGATACAGCTCCTCTCGCGTTAGTTTGTCAGCTTGCAGTGGGTAGCCCTGCTTAGCAGCGAGCTACTCGGTGTGGGACATCATTTTCAAAGACGGCGCAAGCGGATCTGATTGTGGATGGGCTACGGCTTGCAGCGGATTACAGTGGCTAGCCCTGCTTAGCAGTGAGCTACTCGGTGTGCGACATCGTCGGCAACGACGGCGCAAGCGGTGGTGAGGGCGATTTCGTCTTGACGGCTTTGTCTTTCGGGGGCGGTATAGTGCAGTGACTAGTTCGTGATAGTTTGGTGGCGGTGAAGCGTGTGTCTTGTTGAGTTGCAGCTCGTGTCGATGTCCCGTTCCGACGGCTATTGTTGTTTTTTTCTTTAAGTTGCTGTTTGATGCGTGTTGAGGTCCCAATCCAACCGATCGAGTTATATCGATTTATTTTTGTTCAGTGTGAGCTTCATCTTCTTTTTAATATAATCGCCGGCTCTCCGTTTAAAAAAATAGCTCTGCCGGCAAAGCCGCAAAGGAGCCGGAGCCCTTTTTCTACTGCACCAATGGAGCACGAAAACGAGCTTCTCCGGGCTCCTCCTTGCCCTTGGTCGAGAACACGAAAGGATTGATGGTCCTCCATTGGTTCGAAAGTCCGGTCACAGCGAGGCCGGCCAGGCCAGTTTAATCGTGTATGTTTGTACTGTCGCGTGTAGTAAAGAAAGAGAAGCAGCTGCTAGCAAGAATAGGAGAAAAGATAGGGTTCCTAATGTAAAAATACAAGAGAGAAATAAAATAAAGAATGACTCCAATAATTTAGAAATAAACCAAGGTTCCCAATGAAAAAAAGCAACCGTTAGCTTTCTCCTAAAACCAACCAAATCACCTGATACTTGTAAAATACGTAATAAATCACATAAATATCAAAAAATAGTAAAACTAAATTTTCTACGTTGGGTTTAACTAGATTTGCACCATAGTAAAATAATAGGTAGGGGTATTATAGACATTTACCATTTGTCATCCATTCCAGAAAAACAGGAGGAACTATTTTGCCAAATGTTTTCTAGAATGGCTTTAACTCGTTCAGAGGAGCCACTTCTTTCAGAGGAGCCTGAGCCGGAGCTGTTTTTAGAGGAGCCGGAACCCTGCCAGATAGGCCCTAAATACAGTCATTCTCTATTCCGGATTTATCTCTAACAAAAAATAGATAGTGAGAATGGTTCTTTAGATTGTGCACAAAATATAGAAAAATTGTTAGAGAGTAGAAACATAAAAAAACATATTTTTATGCAAATAAATCTCCAAATAATGATTTAGATAGTGAGTTTTAGAAAGACTCTTGAAGATGCTCCGATAGCGTCAAATGCCTTGACAATGTCTAGCTTAAAGAAAAGAAAAGTGTTAGCATTTTTATCATGTTACCTACAAAAATTAAGTCTATCTAAAGATTTGCTAATAGTTCGCCTTGAATAATACCCTTGTACTTCTTCCTTGGTGATAAGAACCTTGATATCAAAGGACTGAGTACCCAGCAGATCCCAATTTAAAGTTTTGTGGCTGCAAATAAACCACTCCATTACTAGAGCTTTGGACAGTTTAACAGTAACAAACTGTTGCTACAATTCGGCGGGAGGACGAAGCACTTGATTTTATCCGTCCTAGTCGCGGTGGCAGACTGGCAGCTAAGCGATCACGTCACGTCTATTGGCGCCATGGAAGTATGGAACGCATGCAATGCTGGGTCTTTTTGTTTCATGCATCGCTCGTGCAACGCAAGCTAGGCTGGGGCGCGCCTTCAGCCTTGCCTTCTGGTTATGGCGGTGCTGCAGTCCACTGCCGGGCCGGGCCGGGCCGAAGGTCTGTTTTGTCTTTGTCCAGCCATTCACATCCTCGGTCGGTCGACGGGACACGACTGGAGATTGGAATTGCAGGCTGGGATGGGATGAGACGGGGGACCCCAGCTGTCATCGCGCGCGCTTGCCGTCACGACTCGTCGCGGCTTCCATTTATCTGGCGAGGCCGGCCGAACGGGAGGGTCACGCAGTCACGCTCACGCGTTCGGACGACGACGCTCCTCTGCCCCGCTCCCTCCCTCCCTCCCTCCCCTCCGATTCTTCAGCCACTCCCGTCTCCTCCGCCTCCGCATTTACCGTGTCGCGGACGCTGACACGTACGTCTCCGTGCTCCACTCACCATTTCCATCCAACACACCCACCCAGACTGCGCACGATACCACTGCCACTGTTGTGCAAGCACCACTAACCAGCCAAACCATGGACGCGGACGCTGCGGCGGCGCCATGCAGGAAGCCGGCGTCCCACTCCCTCCCGCAGCCGCCCCTGCTGTTCGCCGTCCGCGCGCGCTCCGGCCGGGTGGCCGACCTGGGCGCCGGCGGCGCAGCGTTCTCGGGCCCGCCGGACACGCCGCCGCCGCCGCCCGCGCTGTTCGCCGTCCGCGCGCGCTCCGGCCGGCTGGCCGACCTGGGCGCCGGCGGCGCAGCGTTCTCGGGCCCGCCGGACACGCCGCCGCCGCCGCCCGCGCTGTTCGCCGTCCGCGCGCGCTCCGGCCGGCTGGCCGACCTGGGCGCCGGCGGCGCAGCATTCTCGGGCCCGCCGGACACGCCGCAGCGCCCCTCGCTCGTCACCGTGCCGTTCCTCTGGGAGGAGACGCCCGGGATGCCCAAGGCGTCGCCTACCGCCTGCGCCGCCGCAACGACTCCGGCTGCTGCCAACGCTGGCCCCGTTCCCGAAGGCGAAACTGGCGATCATCAGGACAGCAGCGGCCACGCGGACGAGGCGCGCCCCCTGCCGCTGAAGCTGCCCCCGCGGCTGCAGCAGGTGCCAGCGTCGTTCGCCGCGGCGGACACCCGTCAGGGCAGCGGCCACGCGGACCAGGCGCGTCCACTGCCGCTGAAGCTGCCCCCGCGGCTGCAGCAGGTGCCAGCGTCGTTCACCACGGCGGACACCCCGCTGTCGTCCCCCAAGACCGTGTTCCAGGGCCCCTACTACGCCCGCTCCGGCGGCGGCAGGAGGATGCCGAGGTGGGCCCGGAGCGGCGGCGCTGCGTTACGACGGACGACGAGCGCCGGCGTGGCACTCTTCTCTCGGACCTGGAGCAAGCGTAGGGCGGCGGCGGGAAGCAACAAACACACATGCGGCTACCATGAGCGCGACGCGGCGGGTACGGACGCCCCGTGGTGCTCGCCGGGGTCGTCGGACTCCTCGTCATCCGTGTCCACCTGTTTCGGCGGCGACGATCACCGTCGCGGGAGGCCCAACGGCGGGCGCGAGGTCTCCTCGGAGGAGGACGATGGCTCCCCGAGGGTCTCGGTGAGGATCACCAGGTTTAGGAGGAACCGGAGCCTCCCCAGCATGACCACGTCTAACCTCTGGGTACGTGGTCGTTTCTGCTCTGCTTTCTTGTGCCCAGCATGCTCTGTTTTTATTGAAAATGAAAAAGACCAATGGTCAGGGTGCATTTCTGTGCTTTCTCAACTTTTGGATTTTTGAAAAAAACGATTATTACATCAAACAGCCAAATTAGTCGGGACCTGCCTGTGTTCTGCAAATCCTAATTAAACCGTTGTAGGACAGAGAAAATTAGGCGGGAATTTCGCCCTCTAGGTAAGTTACTAGTCAGGGTGTTACTTTTATATAATTTTCACCACAAACCTCAAAATCGTAGCAAATGAGGTTACACACCATGAGAGTAGTGTATTGCTACAGCTCCAATAGTAGTGCTTTATGGGAGGTTGTAGAAGCAATCCGTTGGAGATGCTTGTATATCCGATCGTCCACTCTGTATGATGTGAATTTTGCTATCACAACTTCACAAGTCCAACACAATTTTTGTTCCCTTGGAGTTGTTACTGTTAGCGGTTATTATCCTTAGTACTTGTGTAACATATGGCTCTCCATCTAGCTTAGCTTCTACGTTTGCCTCGGGCTCCTATATAAATGTACCGTAAACCTCTTCAAATGTAATGTAATTTATTCACCTCTATGGTTACATGGTATCATTCACCACTGATCCTTTCCCCTTCCGCTCCACGCGCCGTCACTGACTGCTCGTCGGCCTATGTCGCTCCTCGCCAGGCAGCCGCTGACTGGATCGCCGGCATCCTCCGTGTGCTCGCCAAGCCGCAGTCGCCGGGCCCCATGGCTGATGAAGCCGTCGCTGACGAGGCTGCAAGCCTTGCTGAAGCCGCTCGCCAGCGCTCGCTCGCCCTCGACCAACATGAGGCCGATCATGCCTCGCTCTGGGCGCAGGCCACCGCCGTCCTCAATATCAAGGCGTTGATCCCGGTCACCCTGGATTCGGCCGCCAACAACTTCAGCAAATGGCGCGGCCTCTTCCTCTTGGTGATGGGCAAGTACGCCCTAACTCACCACGTCCTCTACGATGAAGCCCTGTCGGACCGCCCTATTTGGGTCCAGATGGACTGCACGGTGTTGACGTGCATCTACGGCACCATCTCCAACGACCTCCTTCAGTCCTTGATGATTCACTCGTTCAACGCTCGCGGCGCCTGGCGGTTCCTCGAGGATGAGTTCCTCAATCACAGCGAGTCCCGTGCGCTACTACTTGAGACTCAGTTTCGCAACCTCCATCAAGGCTCTATGTCCGTTGGGGATTATTGCCACCGCCTTGAAACCATGGCTGCCGCCCTGGGTGAGTTCGGTGATCCCATTAGTGATCGTCAGATGGTCCTTACTCTCCTTCACAGCCTCAACGACAAGTTTCGCCACATCGTGTCGAACCTGAAGATGCATCGCCCGTTCCCCACGTTCGCTGAGGCCCGCACTCACCTACAACTGGAGGAGATTGATCTTGATGCCGTGCCACCGTCTCCACCAGCGGCCATGGTGGCCGACACTCCACTGTGCCCGACTGGTCCGGCAAGCCCTTCATCGTCGCGTCCAGCCGGTCCCTCCAACCCCAACGGTCCACGACACAACTACAACAACCACCGTCGCCGTGGTCCCTGCGCTGCATTCGTCTTTGCCCACCCTTGGGTGGGCACAATGCAGATGTGGTCGTACGATCATGCCCCCATGGTCGCCCCCCCTCCTCCGCCGGTGATGGCTACTGCACCACTGGGCACCTTCGGGTTCCCTCCCTACAGCCACCCTGGCCCCTACTATGGGGGAGCGTCGGGCGCTCCACCTCTACAGCAGTTCACGCCGACTTCTCTACCACCGCAGCAGCAGATGATGCCATCATCGCTGCACCCACAGCAGCCGTGGAACCCTATGCAAGACGGTTCATGGGATCAGCCATCCTTGGCTCACTCGTTCAGCACGATGCCGTTGAACCCTCCTTTGGCACCTTCTGAGTGGAACGGTGACTCTGGCGAGGGCTCCCACATGACATCGGACGTAGGTACACTCTCTATTGTTTCCCATCCTTCATCCTGCACTCCATCTATCATTGTTGGTAATGGGGTGTTAATTTCCTGTTACTCATCTCGGGTCTCATTTTTTTCGTCTTCACACCATAATCTTATTCTTAATAATGTTTTAGTCACTCCTAGCATCATTAAGGATTTGGTTTATGTTTGTTGTTTTACCACCGATAATAATTGTTCCATCAAATTTGACCCGTTTAGTCTTTCTGTGAAGGACATGCAAACCAAGAATGTGATCACCAGGTGCAATAGCTTCAGTGACCTCTATCTGTTCTTCCTGCCCTCCACCAGCATCGCCGCCCTTGTTGTAGCCCCAGCTCTCTTTGGCATCAACGTCGTCTTGGACACCTTGGCTGGGAAGCTTTGTCTAAGCTTATTAGCTCCAATGTCATTTCGTGTAATAAAGATGATCCCAAACATCTCTGTCATGCTTGTCAGCTCGGGCATCATGTGCGCTTGACTTTTACTTCTTCTAGTTCTAGAGCTCCCAATAAATTTGATTTAATACATTGTGACCTCCGGACATCACATATTGCTAATGTTTCGGGCTACAAGTACTACCTTGTTGTAATTGATGATTGTTCACATTATACGTGGACCTTTCCGCTTCCCACCTCCTCTCACTTGGATTTGTTGAGGCGAAGTCAGACACGTCACTGTTCACCTATCACCGGGGTTCTGATGTGGTCTATCTCCTGCTATATGTCGACGATATTGTTCTCACTGCATCGTCTACTTGACTTCTCCGACATATTATTGCAGCACTTCAGCAAGAGTTCTTTATGACTGATAAGGGTCAACTTCATCACTTCCTAGGAGTCTCTGTCACCCACCGAGATGATGGATGTTTTCTCTCGGCAGCAGTACACACTTGATATTTTGGAGCTGGAGCGCGCCGATATGAGTGCTTGCAAGCCTAGCAGCACCCCCGTCGACATCCACACAAATTCTTAGACGATGGTCCACCTGTTGATGATCCGACACAGAATCACGGTCTCACTAGTGTTGTATAGTATTTGACATTCACGTGACCAGATATCGCGTTTGCAGTTCAACAGATTTGCATGTATATGCATGATCCCTAGGAACCTCACCTTGTTGGACTGAAGTGCATCCTACACTATCTCCAAGGCACTCTGTCACATGGCGTAACTCTTCGCCGCTCGCCACTGGTGGACCTTATTGTCTATTCTGATGTCGATTGGGCTAGTTGTCCTAATACTCATCGATTGACATCTGGCTATGAAGTATTCCTTGGTGACAACTTGGTTTCCTGGTCCTCCAAGCGCCAACAGACTGTCTCTCGATCGTTCTAGTGCTGAGGCGGAATATCGGGTCATCGCGAATGGTGTCGCCAAAGTTTTATGGTTGCGCCAGCGTCTTGATGAGCTTCTCCACCCTCTTTGTTGTGCTACATTAGTTTATTTTGACAACATAAGTGTCGTCTATCTCTTTAATAATCCGGTTCAGCACCAACGTACCAAGCATGTGGAGATCGATCTACACTTTGTTCGAGATCACGTTGCTATCGGTCAAGTCCGAGTACTCCATGTCCCAACAACATCCCAATATGTCAACATCTTCACCAAGGCCCTCTGTCTTCTAGGGGCCCAAACTAGTATAAATCTCTATGTCTTATGTGCAACCATCTGGATCAATCTACGCAATCACGTTGCTAGGCATTGCCGGAGCTAAACAATCCAACAGTTGGCATGCCAGGTAGAGGCCTTGCGTGTTCATAGTAATATTGTGTTTCAGATGGGAATCATCATCAACATCGATGATGTCGCAGAGAGGATGCAGCTAGGCGACAAGATCACCTTCGGCAGCCTCGACTTCGTCGTCGACCGGTTTGGGGACTTGCATCTTCAAAAACCCGAACTACCCATGGAGGAGGAGGAGCAACCTCCCTCGATCTGTGCGTTCTTCGCCTGATTGGAGGAAGCTATGAATGTTGGGCCTTGCACTCTCGCCCAACATCTCAACCGCTACGGACACGACGTCTTCACCAAGTTCGGCCGAGAGAGCGATCTCGAGGCCACCCTCTAACTCTGGCAGATCCAAACTGGACCCCCTGATCGGATCTACAATTGCCACCCTATCACTTCCTTCCTGACTTTCCGTCCGAATTAAGGAAAGCGGTGACAACCTACTCTAGCTGGCTTCAACAAGCCTTAGCGGAACCTGCCAAACCTCATACCGAGGACCATCCCATCTGTGATTCCCATTCTCCCGAATGTTTTGACAACCTGGTTACCTAGTTCGTCGGGATGATTGCCAACGGTGACGAAGACATGGCTGACACGCCAGAAGATTGGGAACATGCAGAGGACGACGAGCCTATCCTAGATTTCGATCTCGATGAGTATGATCAGTTCTTCCTCGATAACCTAGAGCTAGGGGAGGGACTACCCGAAGAGGATGGTATGAAGTCCCAAGATCAACCTGAGTGTTATATCAATCTATAAGACCCCAAGCCACCTCAGGAAGTAGTCAAGAAGCTCGCGCTCGAAAGCGCAACCCCACCGTTGGGAGACATTACCGTCTCAGACGCCCTATACGAGACCAGTGATGAAGCGCACATGCACCTCCTTCGTTAGAATGATAATCTTGAAGCGGAGAATAATCACCTCCGACAACAGCTCAACCGATCTCCTAACACTCAATAGATTCTGGTTGAGCACACCCATCCTATGGGCGGCCAAAACTTCGCCTATCGACCCTATGGGACCATCAGGTTGCTTCAATCGGCTACCAGGGCTGAACCAACGACGCACCCGACAACTCGAAAGTCAAGGCTTAGTCGAGAGACTCTCAAGGCACATCATGGGCCTGCCCCACGCGATCGTAGGGAACGCTTTCCTAGGACCAGGGGCCGACCAATGGGAGGACCTAGAGCGTATCGCCCTCCCAACCCAATCTATGGTCGACTAGGGAACGAGCAAGATGTTCGCGTGTTGATCAATGCACGGAAGCAGGAACGCGATACTCGCAGCCCTGCCCGACATTCAACAGCTCTCGAGAATCAAGCCCATCCATCGATCAGGCTCGAGTACACCATCTAGAGAATAGCCTCGATCCCTCATAAGAGATAGGCCTATC